AACGTCATTAAAATTTTACACGACCAGGTCACTTGGTATACGTTTGTAATATAACTCTTACTCACGTTTTACTTTTTTACCACTGACTTCGCACAAAATGTTAATAGTATTATAACGTAAAAAAAAAATAAAAATTAAGTTGCTTAGTGTGGAAAAAATGTACATGTATGCGTATAGTAACTAGTAAGTACCTACCTACCAGTGATACATTATATATGTAATAATATAATTAAATATACTCGTTTCGGTATCACTATATTTTATCAAAAATACAAGTATAAATTTAAAAACCTAATCATTTGGAAGGATTCAAAACCAAAAAAAATTAAATTAACATATTTCCATCTACAAATATTTATAATATGATAATAGTATATTTAGATACATTAAAAAAAAAAACATTTGGTTCCGATTTTTTAAAATACCTACAGAATACAAGTTCCGGTAAATACCGCGGTATTTAGAGGTGTAATTTTTTTCCAATGGTAAAACATTCAAGTAAGTACTAACATCATACCTAAAATCATAAGATTAAATAATAGTCGTCATAATTGGTTAAAAACTTAAGTAAGTTTACTATTAGATATTTAAAAACATGTATAACAATTTGTTTTTAAATCTGTGCTGACACGCGTTGTAAGTAGTGCATCAAAGTTTGATACAATAAAATACTCAACTGTCTCTTTCAAAAGTGATTTTATTTAAATAGTAGTCTGTATTTTTGCGACATATACATGTGACCAAGTACCAACTTTGTAGTTGTTACTTGCTATATGTCACTTGCTTGCTTATGCCGGGTCCACACAGAGACGACACAGAAACAAAACAAAAACCAAACTCAAACCCTTCTTTTTGAAGTTTGAAAAAAATAAAACACAAACAAAACATGTGTCCATACTGAGTTGAGTAAGAATTAAACAAAACATGAACAAAATTCAAACATTTGTTCGTGTTTAGTTTTTGTTTTCAACTATCCACACAGAAATATAAACTCGTCGTTTTATTTCGTTCATCCGTGGTCATTCAGTTTCAGTCTGTCTTCAGAATTCTAGCTTTTTAAACTCTTCGTACAAGTTTTTTTAAATTTTTTTACTGTGAGTGAAAATGTGGAAATTAAAAAGAGATATTGAAGACGATGAAGATTTACTTATGTTGGGTGCTGGGTATATTTACCTACAGTTACAAAGTAAAAAAATAAATAATAAGATTAAAAGACGTTTTTGGGTAAGACCAACTTTACAAAAAAGAAATTTGTTTGGTGTCGATGAACTTCTAAAGAATTTACAAGATGATGATATTGGTTTGAACGGAGAATTGCGATCTAGCTTTAAAAACTTTTTGAGGATGTCAACTGAAGATTTCGAAAACTTAATATGTCTCATTGGTCCAGTAATCCACAAACAAAATACTAATTGGAGAACTGCTATTAGTGTGACTGAACGTTTAGCTTTGACTTTAAGGTTCTTGGCAACGGGAGACTCTTACCATAGCATGATGTATCAATTTAAAATATCTACTCAGTCAATATCACTTATAGTTCCGGAAGTTTGTGAAGCAATAGTCAAAACTCTTTCGGAGTATATTAAGGTAGGCACATACATAAATAAATTATTAAAATAAATCTATTATAAGTGTTTTTTTTTTTTTACAAATAAATATCTATATTTGTTGTAATTGAAGTAGGTAGGTACTGAAAAATATTTAATATGAGAATAACAAATAATAATAAACGTAGCATAACTTTTTTATATTTAAATATAAAAAAAAAACAGAAACTTTTTTTTCATGTACTTGCACTTAATTTTAAAACAATTCAATATTTAAAAAATGAAAACATAATTTTTTAACTGTTAAAAAAAAAAAAAAATGAAAACTAACTTATTTTCTAATTATTCTAAGGGATTTTTTCATTGTAAATAATCAGACATATCTATGTTTGAAGTTGTTTCTAAAACTTCTTGGACGCTGGGAGGGTTGGAATAGGAAACGTTCGATGCGGAAGCTGATGAAGTATTACCGTGATAATTGTCATAAAGAGGATAACAATTATTTCTCTGTGGTGGTTCATCGTATTTTCCCATCTCACCTTCATATAAGAGATTGCTCATTAAATTCTGCACCGTGCATTGTGCATAACGCGTACGAAGAACACGCAATTTGCGTGACACTAAATCACCAAACACATCAAATTCATCCAAGTTCTTCTCTTCACGTTCCATGCGGCTTTTTTGAATAGATTTCATCATTTCAAATACGTCTTGAGACTTATCTTCAATTTCTTTAGAGCTTTTGGATGATTTTAGGAACATATGTGATACTTTTGACGACTTATTGGGAGGAGTGTCTGATACATTTTTAGCATTACTTAGCATTTGTATTGGCTCTTCATTGATTTCATCCACTTCGAATTGATTAGCAGCTCCTTCATGTTCATTAGATTTTGAAATAGTTGTGCATACCTCAATATTTTGTTCATCCTCATCATCGCTGGTTACACAGTCATTTTCCTAAACCATCAATATTAAAATAATTTCAATGCCTTCATATTATTTATTTAATCATTTTCATATGATTTGAATTAGTGAAAGGTCAAACCATGATTTTCTAAATCGAACCGAACTTGAACCTAACTTAAAATTATTTTTTCGAACCCGAACTGAACCTTCATATTTTCTATCGAATCGAACCTAGAACCATTTTAAGCCAAATTCGAACTGGTACACCAACTATTTTATCATGTACGGATTGTACCCACAAATTAAATCAACCATAATTACTATTATATTTTAAGTTTTCGTATTACCGTTATTAAGTTTTCTATAATTATCAATAAAATTTTATTAGTTGGTTAAAAAAGCTTGAAAATTTAATAGAAGGCTCCTAGTATATTGTTTCAAAGTCACATGAAAAAAATTAAAAATCCAAAGTCACAGTTTTTTTTATAAGCATTTAAAGTTCAAATATTAACAAAATACTTAAAAATTACGAAAATTTGCAAATTATTTTGAGTTAGAAATTCATAAATAATTTTCTTTTTAGATTTTAAAATGTAATACAAGTTGCCTTATAAGCTTATCTACTTTTATCAAAAAAAAAAAATGTCTATAAAAAAGTCAAATTACATTTTAATGAGCGTTTGAAATGCAATTTTTACAACCTTCGATATTCACTCGATTTCTCATTTAGCGATTTACTTATTTTGTTGTAATTCAAAAACGAATAACTGTAGATACATGAAAATTATACTGAATGTTTATTTTATCAATTTTTATACTTGATAGAATTTTCAAAATATTTTGACTTGTTTTGAGCTGTTAAAGGACAATTTCATATTTCAATTTTTTTATTTTTTTTTTTATAATAATATCAATAAAGTTTTATCTGTTGGGCCAAAAAGTGTAAAAATTTAATACAAGACTCCTGGTATATTGTTACAATTGTAGTTGAAAAATATTAAAAATACATAAGCACAATTTTTTTTATAGTCATTTTAAGTTCAAATTTGGACGAAATTACATATTAAAAAACCTATTGAATAACTATTTAGTTATTTTGTTGTGATTGTATAATATTATTCGTGGGTACTTGAATCTTCTAAAGTATACTATACTATACTTTAGTATACCTACTATACTTTATATATCTATGATAGTACCACGGTTTGTTGTTGATGTATACATATAAGTACCTACCTAATGGATATTATTATATGATTATAATCAAATTATAATTTGGAATTTATTATAGGTACCAATTATAGGTCAATTTTTTTTTTAATACCGTAGATAAGTGTATAATATTATGTCTTATACCTAGACTGAAAATTTGATATCATAATTTTAGATGCCTTCAAGCTCAGAAGAATGGAAAAAAATAGCTTTTGATTACAATAAAATTTGGAATTTTCCTCAATGCGTCGGATCTATGGACGGAAAACATGTTGTTATTGAAGCACCAATACTAAGTGGAAGTGATTTTTATAACTATAAAGGCACATTTAGCATTGTACTATTTGCTATTGTAGATGCTAACTATAATTTTATTTACGTTAATGTTGGTTGTCAAGGTCGTATATCGGACGGAGGAGTATTTAAAAGTACTGGATTCCAAAAGCTCATGGAAAATTCTACTTTGAACCTTCCAGATAAAAGAGCGCTGCCAGGTCGGGACAAATTGAGCCCATATGTTTTCGTAGCTGATGATGCTTTTCCTCTTTCACCCAATATAATGAAACCCTATAGCGGACATCAGCCTAAAGCTTCGAAAAATCGTATATTCAATTACCGTCTCAGTCGTGCTAGGAGAGTTGTAGAAAACGTATTTGGTATAATGGCGTCAATATTTAGAGTATTTCAAAAACCTATGCTACTGCAACCGGAAAAAGTTGATAAAATAGTATTGGCTTGTGTTCATCTTCATAATTATTTAAGAAAACATTCATCGAAAACCACATACAACCCACCAGGTACATTTGATTCAGAACAGTTAGATAGTGGAACAGTAGAAACAGGATCCTGGAGAAGAGAACATCAGAATTTACAATCATTTTTACCTATTCATCAAGTTCCCCGAAAGTCATCGATCGAAGCTGCAGAAGTTAGAGACGAATTTAGTGAATACTTCATCTCACATGAAGGTGAAGTTCCATGGCAATTAAACTATTGCTAATTTTGAAAACACTATTATTAATATATTTTTTTAAATATATTTTACTATGAAAAATATTAAATATTTCGATTTATTATTATCATTATTATTTTTCATTATTTTTGTAAGGTAGGTATACTTAATAGCGTAGTAGCGTAAAAATTATTTATTTTTTTTTTAAACATATTGGAAAGAATTTAAATTTGATTCACGATAGTACCTAACTTGAATGAAATGGAATGGCAGTGACGAAGTGTAATTATGTATTTATTATTTTTATGTTATAATATTTTTCTGTTATGAATATTTTTATGATTAAATGTTGTAAAAATATTTGTATTTATTTATTATATTTAGTGACTACCTAGATGAGTTGTGTACTGCACCACTGTACTACATGGCAACTATTAAAATATGTATATACTTATTTATTTAAATATTTTGAAATAAAGTAATATAATTATTAATATTTATACATACCTGACATTCATCTAATCCAAATTCTCGTGTTTTCCTAGGTTTATTTTTATCTTGTAGAAAACTCATAAGGTCATATCCGAACCATTTAGCATGAAATTCTTTTCCAGCTCCTGATTTTTTCATAGCTTTATAGTTACGCCTTTCTCTTGTGTATTGCGAGTATACATTTTTAAGCTTCCTGTCTATTTCACTAGAATCAGTATTGAATGTGATCGCTATTTCTTTCAATGCATCAGCTGTTTTGAATTTATTTTTATGGTTTAAGTTTTTGGCATCCCACAATATTGGGGATTCACGGTACAACTCAATCAGCTTGCACGTTTCTTCAGTAGTCCATTTTTTTTATTCATTTTTTTTGCTTAGTTATACCGAATTGTACCGAATAATTTTAATTAAACAAAATAAAACTTAAATAAAACTAAATTTTTTATTTTCGAAAATTTAAATCAAACACACACGTGTCGTGTACGTCAACAGTACGACAGACTAATTGATACTAAAATGGTAGACAGCGAATGTATAATTATATAATAAATATAATATATTAATAACCAAATCGGTACTGCCCGCGAAATCCCGAAAAAAAAATATTTCCTGTTGGTTGTTTTGAAAACATGTCCACACACGTTCGACAGTGTTCGCAAAAACAACAACAAAACCAAAACCTTTTGATGTTTACCGACACCGCTCGGGACACGACTTTGTTTTTCAAAACACGAACAATTTGTTGAAAAAAACAAAATTGTTTTAAAAATGTTTTGATTTTGTCGAAAAACACAGAGTTTTTGTTTTGTTTTACTTTTGTCGTCTCTGTGTGGACCCGGCATAAGAACAGTCATAGAATTCATTAAAAAAAAGTTGAACACACCACTGAATTAAGTGTTATTTATTTGTAAGACTATTAATTCTTATTTAAGTTTAAGATTTTACTAAGAAAGCTTGTGCACAATTTAGAACAGTCATTATACTGATTTGGCAAGAAAATATGATTAAAATTGGCTAATTACCAGGATAAAAAAACAAAAGTAAAAATTGTGTACCTATAATTACTATAGTAAAGAGTTGAGACATATTTAACTATTTATAAAATAATTAACTATGTAGCTATCTTTTTCTCTCCTTCTATGAGTCAGATTTTCTATGTTACCTATGTTAAAATTGTAAGACATAATGTTTTTCAATCGACTCACAAATAAACCTTATTGAACAATAATAAGTACAATAGTGAGTACAGGTTAAATGATTAAAATTATTTAAATATTATTATAAATATTATTATTGTTATTATTATTATATTAAAATAACCATAATATATTATTTTTTTTTTATATTGAAGTTGTATGATTAGAAAAGTTTTTAATATCATATTATATCATATGGAATTAACAATACATGTAAACATTGGCGGATATCCCATTATCCTCCCCCCAACATATACATTTTTAATTTTATATAGAATCGAAGTACTCCAACTTCCACTTTTGTTTACCCCCCCCCCCCTTAAATTTTAATGGATTTCCACTAATGCATGTAGACACATCACACGTATATTTAATATTCTGCAGAGCGGAGCGATGAATGTATTGATTTTACAATGATGTGTGATCCCACATTATTTTTTTATTTTTTTCTGGCTGGAGACACTTTTCTTAGTAAAAATAAATCATTGGTAATCAAAATTTATAGAGGTTTCTAGTAGAAAATTGGATCTAGTTGGTACTTTTATAGGGAGTCAAAATAATTTTCAGTACTTTTAAAAATAATTGGGAAGACAAAAAAAAACACGGACATTTGTAAACATTTTTATATTATTATTAAAATAATTATTTGGCAACCAGCTTGGTAGTATTTAATGCAACGTTTCTTCTAAATTGTTAATACTAGAATAAAAAAAAAATTCAAATTTTTTTTTGTTTTTCCCAATTATTGAAATGGAATGAAAAAAAACTTTGTATAATATATTATTATATAGCTATGCTATTATAATAATTGAATACCCGTCACTAATATAATAAATGCAATGTGTTTGGTAAAAAATTAAATAAACCTACCATAATACTAATAGTAAAATAAATTACTAGGAATATCAAAAAACCAATCATGAATATATATAATATACCTAGTTATGAAGGCATACAGATCGTCTTCACTCAGAATCGTTTTTTTATTATATAACTATTCTTATCATTGGATTAAAATTACAAAGATGCATATACATTATAGTGTCGGAAGTGTAATACGTGGTTGCGCAAAATTTAAAAAATAAAAATAAATATCGATTTAACACTTGGACAATTATGAATACAAATTTCCCCCACCCAATATGGTGCTCTCTAATATTTATAATGTTGTATTATAGCCATATAAGTAGGTATATTATGCATTAAAAATTATAATATATGTTTAATATAGGTTTATCAATGACGATAGGGGTACTCGACACCAACGTCCTGTACAGTACAGCGTTTATACCTACTTTACTACTTTTATAATACAAAAATCTACGATGTTCGAAGATATTTTATTCTAATACAATATAATATATAAAAGTGTTTTGTTGTTTACCGTTTTAAGGAAATAATTACTCGATAATATTATGTTATTAAAAAATAGTTATCATAAAATATATATTACAATATTAACAAAACCCAGTGGAGTACTCAAGTGTAGGGTTCTAGGGTTCTGACCCCCTCTGAAATTTCTTTTTCCACAAAAAAATCTTATTTATCACTATTTTGGTACACACAGATCAATTGTTGGTAATTTTTAATAGATATAAAATAAATTGTTGAATATGACAAAGACGTCGATAATTGTTAAATTTTTTTTTTGGCTGATTTAGAACATTGCTAAATGTCTGCCATAATCGATGGTGTATCGTCGTCCATCGATTATTACAATGTTTATTACGACCCGGCTTTTTATATGACCAGGTTAAACACTTTATATGTAGACTAAATGTTTGAGACTAACTATAATTTTTTATTTAAACTGTTTAGAAAAAAAGCGGGGAAGTGGATGTTGCTCTGCTGTATTCTGATAGAAAAATGAATCTAGTTAATGCATTCGAGAGGGCAACATTTAAAATTCTCAGTTATTTGTGTATATAATATATCGCACTCCTAGAACAAGACTGTCACAACTCAAAATTTATAGTTTTGAGAAAAATCAATTTGAAGTTTGGACTTAAGATATTTTAATGAATTTTTTACTTATGCGTTTGAAATTTAACACTTAAATACTTACAACCATACTTTACAATATTAATTTTTCAAATATTTTGAAATTCACTCTTAAACCCAAAAATTTAGACTTGTGGCCATTTACAATTTTTTAAGTAAATGCAAGACTGCCATATTTTGAGATGCGACTATATGAGAATTTGGCGCAAAACGAAAAGCTATTCTATTTATAAAGACAATAGAGTCATAATTCGTGTTGTGGCTGCACTATCACAAATTATAAAATGCAATACTGCCACAACTCTAAATATTGCTGTTTTGCACTCAACATATTACACGATAATTAGTTTTTATTCAGTGCAAGAACGCCACAAGTCGAAATAAGGCAGTCTTGAATTTTGACTTCAGTGATAATTTGGATAAATAAAAATAAGTATACTGCCATAAAGTAAATATGGCTCTCTTGCATTGAAAATTAACCAATATTTAAATAATTCAATACAGACACATCTCTATAGTGGCTAAATGAAAAATGATATTGAATGTGGCGTTCTTGCATTTAAAAGAGCTTATTTTTCTCTATCCAAAAGTAGTCATAACTCAAAATTCATGAATTTTGAGTTGTGGCAGTCTTGTTCTAGGAGTGCGATATACAAAATCAATAAATACCAGTACACTCCAGTTATATAATTAATCTATGTTTATTGTAGTTAATTTAATTTAAGTATTATAATTATTCGTTACAATGCCATTCAAACGTACCCACCTTTATCAATGGAGTTCAATATATTATTAAGTGCTTTCATACAGATTAATGTATTTTATCAAATGTGTTAAGTGCGTTTGGTTATCATATAAATTCAACAGCTTACACTACTATAATTTTAAATACCTACCTTACTATATTATATATTCATATCACTGTGAGATATTTCACACACTAATTTAAAAAATAAGTATTTAAATAACGATACATATTATTTAAATGTACTAATTTAAATTATTTTATTGTACCTATTTAAATTATTTTATTGTACCTATTGCTATTTAGTATTTATTGTGTGTTGCAGCTGCTTCATTAAATGGTCGTTAACTCGTATCAACTGGTTACAATTTTCTTTTATACAATTTTTTAACTAACAGATGACATAAAACATATGGTTTTGTAAGCATGCAAGTATAAAACAATTAACCTCTAAGTATCATAATTTATTAATGGACAATGGTACATAATATACTATATTATGAGTTATGACATTATGTGCATTGGGTACTAATATAGCAATAAATACATTATTGTAAAATGGTGATTGTATAATGTATATACTAACCGGATTATATTACATCTCATTTAGTATTAATTAGTAAATTGTAATAAGAGGAACAATACGACTAAAATATAAGCCGATTGTTTTGTTAAAAGAGGACAACTGCTGGTTGCAGCTAAAACGATATTTTAAAATGGGGCAGTACCTATATAATTGTGTTAACTTGAAATAACACAGTTGTATTGTGTTCACTGTTAACTAAATCATTTGGAACTTGTTATATGAATAAATATCAAGTAATTTCCATCCAAACTTCCTTTGGTGTGTCCGATGCTCTTTTCAATTTGGATAGATACTTCAATTTTTTCTTAAAGTGCAAAGTTAAACCAGTCACTACTTCAAAGTTCAAGACTTCAAGTTATTAAGCGATAAAATAAAAACTATTATTTATTATATAAGTACATACCTAGTACCTACTACCTACATTCTATGATATTATCATATAGTTTTACGGATAATATTACTTTTAAATTAATGTATAATACAATCATATGAGGTACCTAATGAAGGCTTTAACAAAAAATAGTAATGACACAACTAAATAAAAATTATAATTGAAAATCGCTACGAAGAAATACAAAATATACAATGAATTTTATGAACATAACGTTTACTCATTCAGGATACATTATATTTATTAAATATTATAATAGGTATAATAACAATTGCGTTTTCTTTAATTATTTATTACCTATAACAATAGTTTACTAATATGATATACTATTGGTCCAAGTGGTTGAAAACCTATAATAGTATAATGCTATTTAATCTCACCGTATAAAGTATTATTATAATACCTCAACTACGTTATATCAAATTCAGAAATGTTTTTAATGATCA